CGCGGGGAGGTCTGGGCTTGCTGGGACCCTCCCCGCCCCCCTGTGCCAGACCACAGAGAAGGGCAGGTATACCGAGTGACACACCAGGGGAGAACGTTTCCCCAAAGCAGGACTCCGCAGGGGTTTGGGGTCGTGCCTTTCACCAGGGCGTGGACACAGCTGAGTCCCTAAGGTTGCTGGATCTTCCTGGATGCCAGGGGGCCCGCAGCCAGGAGCCCGGCCCCGCCTTTGTTTTCAGGCTGGACAAGGGGCGAGCGTAGGTGAGCGTGCTGGGCCGTGCAAGCCTCTCTGCCCACACAGCTATCTGAGGAACGCCGCTGCCAGCCTTGCATCAGAAAGCAACATTTTTAAAGATGAAGAAATCCCTACTTTCTCTTAATTTGTTATTGTCATGACACGACTGAGTCAGTAAGTAAACATTTTGAAGCCCTGAGGTCGCAGGCTTGAAGCCACTCCGCGTGCTCCATGGGCCTCCGGCTTCCCTGGCAGCTCTCACGTGCATTCAGGGCTCAGCGTCCCCCCTCCAGGAAGCCTTCCCTGAAGCCCCCTCCCAACTCCCTGGCTGCATGAGGGGCTGCCCTGTCCCTGTGTCTTACCCATAACTGAGTTGCCTGCTGCGGGACTGTGCCTTGTGCCTTGCTCTGTAGCCCTACACAGTCCCTGGCACAAAGCAGACGCTACGTAGCTGTCAGAGGAAGGGGTGAGGAGAGGGAAGAAAGCTCAGGGAGAGAAGGATCTTTGTGGTCAGACGCACAGACCTACAGACAGGCGGACAGAACCAGCTGCGGGCCGGGGTACACACACATACCCTGGCCACACAGGCAGGGCAGCGCTGAGTTTCCAGCCCCAGGCCCCAGCCGTGTGACCTGGGACCAGCCCCGCCCCCCACGCCCCCAGCATCCGCGTTCTCGCATGTACAGAGCGTTACTGCAGGAGATCAGAAAGCTCTCACCGCCTGACACATGGTGGTGCCTCAGACACGGGCTCCACTTCCCCCTCACAGCACTCCGCCTGCCTGCAGAGGGAGGGCAGGATGGCAAGGGGTGGGGGGGAGCCAGAAGCCCCAGGGACCAGCGCCGCCGCCGGTGAGCCACTCTGGTGGCCGCTGTGTCCATCTTCCCCGTGAAAGATGCACTCCCGGCCTGCAGCCCCTAGGCCAGTCTGGACTGCAGCAGGGGGCATGAGGCAGCCCTAGTGGAACAGCTTGGCACCATCACCCCGACTGAGGGTCCTTGGGGACTCTGCGGGAGGCACCGGGACACATGAACATACACAGTCCTTCCCACCACAGGGTCCAGTCCTGTGACAGGGCCCCTGCTCCATGTCCTCTGTGCTGGCCTGTCCCTAACCCCGCTGTCAGGACCCAGCCCCATGGCCCGTGACAGCCTGCACCCTCGAGTGCCCTGTCGCCTGGTGCCAAGGTCTGCACTTGAACCCATGGTGAGGCCTGCCCAGCAGCACTGGGGGCCTTTACGACAAGGGTGCTGCCCCCACAGCCGAGGCAGGATACAGCAGGAATTGTACGTCATTTAACAGGGCTCTGCATTTAGTGAGACGGTATATATTACGAGTAAAAACTGAAAGCAACTGAGAAAGGGGCACAGTGAGCTTTCTGGGTGATGGCCATCATCGTATCACATCAGTACTTTCACACAGGTATATCCGTTTTTCAAAACTGACAGAACGGTGCGCTTAAAATTTACATAAAGGGAAATGTATACGTCTTACCTAAAAGAACAGTGAGCAAACACTGAAGTTGCATTAATTACATACATGCTGAAGTGTTTGTAAGCGAAGTGCAGTGATGCCTGAAATTTAATTTTAGAGATGCATCAAAAACACGAGATGGAGCACGGATGGAGAGAGAGAGCGATGGATGGCTATTTGAGGAGGCAACGAAAGGGTTAAGTGTTACTTGGGGAATCTAGATAGTGGGTATACACTTGCTGACTGCAATTCTTTCCACTTTTCGGTGTGAAAAATGTGTATAATAATGTGGTTTTTTTTTTTAATATAATCAAAAGCAAGCTAAAGAGTCAATAACCTGGAGAAACATCAAAAATCAAGTATGGCACAGGTGTCTGCTGTGGTTTTCTGAGGCCAGAAAGGAGTGGTTTCGATAACGTTGTAGGAACTGCGAAGTTACCCATAGCCAACGCCGAGTGGGGCATCAGTGTGAGACCGTGTGGGTGTCGGCAGGGGCCCTATCACCCCCTGCAGCGGCGCGACAGCAGGCTGGCGGCATGGCTCACAGTGACGCAGACCCTCCTGGGTTCAGACCCGTCCTGCCTCACCCTGCAATGAGCTTCACCTGTCTCAACTGTAAGGGAGATCGAATGAGGCCGTGCCCACGAGGGTCCTCAATTAGAGCCCGGAACTGAAAGGCACTCAGGAGGAAGGAGGGGCTGGCGTGACAGGTGATTTCCAGGATGCAGACCTGCGGGCAGGCCACCAGGTGTGGGGAACAGCCAAGGGCTCGGGAAGTCTCCCCACCAGGAAATGCTGACTCCCTGAGCCAGAGAGTCACTGTGATTATTTTCTAAAAGATGCTGCACGAATAACACAGGGGCTGTAAGTACATGTGCCAAGCTCAGGGCGGCTCAGTTCAGCTGGCAGGGTTTGAAAGTTCCTTTTTCATCTCTGCTCTAAGACGACGTGGAGTCCCCGTTACCTAGAGCTTGCTTCCCACCCCTGGCTCCCACTCACTCCCACACACCCTTCAGGAAAGCGCTCAGACAGCACCTCCTCTGGGAAGGCCACCCTGATCCATCAGACAAGGTCTGCTTGCCGGTGACTGCCTTCCACCCACGGCACCTAACCGCCGTCATCGTCGTATTCCTGTGTAAGCGAGCATTTGTCAAAAGTGTCCCCTTAGGTCCCTGGAGCCCAGCACTGGTGCCGAGAATGCTCTAAATAAACAGTTAGCTGAGAATGAGTTCCAACTGTTTGAGAAAGTGACTTCACTCTTTGCCTATTGAAAATAAATAGTGAGCACGTGGTGGGGCGGGGAGGGCAATCAAAGTAACCCAGCTCATCCGTGTTTGTCCCGGGCAACGCTGGGGCTCGAATGATCAAAGCTGTATGGCAATGGCGCATGCAGTTTTACTGTCTCCTTGGAAGAAGCGTTGTAGGGAGGGGTTCTCCTGGAACCCCACTGCCCAGTGCCAAGCCCCGCTCTGTGACTTGCAGGCCCGGCCCCTCCCTGCTGACAGCTGGCCATGGGGCTCACGGGGTCCCCAGGAATCTTGTGCATTTTCCAGCAGAAGAAACAAAGGCACCTGTGGAGATCCTGTGACCTGACTCTCACTGAGGACACAGTCCCCCATGCCTCCAAATGCTGAGAATCTGTGCTTGTGAAACGGCCGGGCGGGGAGGGTTCTTAGAGGCCATCTCTGCTCCCACCAGCTTCCGTCCCCTTTCTAGACAGGACTGTGAATCCCAGCCACAGCGCGTCCAAGGTCATCTGCTGTGTGCGGATTTAACCTGACAGGTGTCCATGCATTTAATCCCCAATCTTCCCGCAGCTGAACTTAGAAAAGGACTCGGCGTTATCGAGTGACACTGAAGGGTGTCCGAGATGAGCCCCCAGCACTAGGCACGCATCCGCAGTGGCCACAGGGTCCTGTGACAGCTCACAGCTGAGCCTCTCCACAAACTGCCCTCAGGTGAAGCCCTGACCCAGGCTATGCTCTGCCCCCAGGGACAGTGACTGGCCCTGGCCTGGCACAGAGCCCCATGGGGGCACTGGGTCAGTTCCTCCCTCGGTCCAGCTCTGCCTCCCTTACCCCTCATAGGTGTCATCCCCAGGAACACTGTGCAATGACCTTCTCATACACACATCTCTGGCTCAGAGTCTGTTACCAGGGAAACCGACCGATGCAGCCAGGGACAGGAAGTGGCAAGACCTCCCATGAATAATATGCTTTCAGGAAACAGGGGGCACCTATAAATCCCAGGTCAAGTCCAGCCCTCGCCGACTCCTCGGCGTCATCTGCCTCCAAAAGGACACATTGAATGCTTGGCCCACTGTCTTTGAGAGAGTGAGGCAAGGGCCACCTGGGGCTCCGAGGACGGCACTCTGGGAGGCTTACTGTGTCACAACAGGGGGCAGCCCATTTAGGGGTGCTGACCATTTGCTTCTGAGCCCTGTTTTGCAGAGCAGGAAACTGACACCTTTCCTAAAACGCATCAGCCTGTCCATGTCAGAGCCAGGGACCCATCCCAGGGGCCGGACCCCACAGCCAGCTCTGCTCTCCACGCGCCCCTCCTGTCCTTGGGCTTGAGTCGTGGCCGAATGGAACCCAACCCAGCGGGTCCCAGCATTCTGGCTCTTGTGTCCCCATCTTCCCGGAGCCGAAGTCAGAATGTGCCCCTGACTTGCCTTGTTCTCTTCTTTAAAGAAAACCATGTGTTTACTCTCTTATGCCAAAGTTACAACAGCTGATGTTTCGCCAGTGTTGACTTGAAAAGCTGGGCAGAGGGGTTAAAATCCTTCTCCCTGATGCCTGTTTGTGTTTCTGAAGCAGGAGGAGGGGGTTCTAAAAACCATCTCAGGTACTGGGCAGTCGGTACCTGCAGGGTACACGGAGGCCCCGCCCCCCAGGGCACAGGTCCGGGAGGCTGCGAGAGTCCCTGTGCACAGACCTGCACCTCATCCCCCAGAAGCCCAGCGGGCGGGCACCCTGTGGGCTCATCACGCACACCTCGCCACTGGTGCCCCTGCTTTGCCAGTAACACTCAGAGGAGGTGAAGGGCAGGGAAAGGCGTGCCCTGACCAGGGCTCTCTCATCCCCTTGGGGGCCCGGCGACACCCCTTCCTCTCCCCCAAGCAGCCTAGTGAGCGCTCAGCCAGCCTCCCAAGGACGACGCAGACAGACACTCACACACGTGCGCAGTACATGCCGGTGGAAGCAAAACGGTGCCCCCCACCCCCACCCTCCGTGCCACTTCCCACCCTCTGTCCCCACCTCCCGTGAGTCCGCGAGAAGAAGGCCGCTCACCCATCTGCCTCCGAGGGAAAATCCTCTTCTGCAAACTCATCCTGAGGGGCCTGGAGCCGGGAAGCCCCTCTGAGCGGATTCAGAAGTCCTGCGCGATCAGCGGCAGCTTCTAGGGCTGGGAGTATTGGAATAGGAGTTAAAACTACAAAGTAACTCCCCGTCAGAGCTGTTTCCCCCCCCTCCCCAGCAGGGAGGGAGGGAAAAATCCCTTCCCCGCTGCCAGCAAGTCTTTAACGGCTCAGAGCAGCCGGCCGCTTCCAACTCCTGCCCTCCTTGCGAGGCAATGTGTATAAAAGCGATGTTATTTCACTGAATCAAGCCCTCAGATCATAAGCCTCTTCCTGCACCGCAAACAGAAATGTAAAACCTCAAACTTTCCTTTGGACTCGGGGTGTGTTGCGAGGGCAGAAGACAAGCCTGTCTAATGTATGGAGGCTTCGCTCACGTCCGACCACGCACCACTCCCCCCACCCAATTCTTTTTAACGAGTTCTGGTGTGTTTATGTAATTGCAAGGGACAAACACAACACCTAAAACCCTTGCCCAACATTGAAGTGATTCATTTTCTCCTTCACACACACCACACACACACACACACACACACACACACACATACACACAGCGCCTGTGTAATCCAAGTGAAAACGCCTTTCATGAAATCTGCAGAGGGCTGGTGAATGCAGCCTGTGTCCCCAGGAGGGCAGCCGCTCGGGGAAGGTGGAGACTGACTGCACTCAAGACCAACAGACGGCGCCCTGACTCCCGCCCATGTCAGGACAAGGGCGGACGAAGGAAATGTGGACGAGCACCCTGGGCAACTGGGCTCGGAACTGTTTTCAGCCTCATCTACCCAATGACCCCCTTTTCATACCAGGGGAACTTATTTTTAAACTTGGACAACACAGACTATTATTTTAAATGACCAATTTGATTGCCGGGTTAAATAAATCCTCGGATTCCCCACCGAGACGACCAAAAGCATGTACAGTAATGGGGCAGAGTCAGAGCTGAAAACTGGGGAAGGACGTGAGGGCTGAGGACACACCAGTGTGAGATGGGTCGCCACGGAAAGCTTGCTGTTCGACAGAGAAAAAGTCACCGGGAAAGCTAGCAAGACACCACCCGGTCCAGCTTGAGTCGCCTGTTTATGCAATGGCAGGGGACAACAACAACCCCTAAACATACAACACCTGTCACCTGCAAGTGTCCCAGGGCTTCCTGGGATGTCCCCCCCTACTGGTGTGGCTGCCTCGGGCTTCTCCACCCATGTCACTCCCACCTCTCGGGGCCTCAGGAGTCACAGGCTTCAGAGTCACCAGCACTTTGCTCAAAGCACTACCAGGCAGGTCACTGCGGGCCCGAGTCCCCCACTGCGCCCCCACTCACCTTGAACCATCACTCCTCCAGGCAGTGCTGCAGTGCGGGTTGCCAGAGAAGCCCCGCTCTGGATACCCGGAGTCAGAACAGCCCCCACGAGTCCCGCTCACCCCACAAACGAGGACCTGTAGGCAGAGCCAGCACTGCCCTTCCCCGCCACCAGCTCACCCGGCTCTGAAGTACCGACTACTCAGGGCCTGTGATTATAAGACCCCACAGCTGAGCCAGCAGCGCCAGGCCTTTAGTAGTGCCACCTGCCGCGCCGCACCGGTGGAACACAGGCTGGAAGAAGTCTGCAGACCCCAGTGACGGGTACAGTCAGACCAGGTGTCCCAGAAAGGTCTGCACTGCACTGCTACGCGAGTCTATCAGCTCACACACTCAGGATGTGTGAGATGGTCCACATACATGGAACAGATTATATCTGGACAAGTAACATTGAGGGGTTTTGTTTTTTTTTTCTCCATGAGCTTCCCAACATCCATTTGGCCTTTCCAATATCACTATGTTAGCCCCACAGTTCAGGGAGGAGCGAGAACTTTCAATTCATGCCATTTAGAGGATGATAGGAAAAAAAAGGTTAATTAGAAAAACCCGGGTTGTTTTTTTTTTTAAGTCAAATCCTTGCCTTTGGAGCTCCTAATTAGACTGTTAAATTAACAGCAAAGGCTGTAATTTCGAAAGTCACGGCATCTGATTATATGAATCCAGCCTTTGACAAAGAAATTATTATTTGGTGTGGTCAGCCCCTCCAAATATGTCCACGTCCTGGTCTGGGAACCCGTGACTATGTTACATTACACAGCAAGACGCAGTGACAATTGCAGAAGGAATTAAGGGTGCTAATCACCTGACTTTACAGGAATTTTTCCGGCCCAATGTAATCACAAGAATCCCTGACAGTGGGAGAGGGAGGCAGAAGATGGGTCCGGCCCAGAGACACCTGAAGCTACGCCACTGGCTTTGATGGTGGAGAAAAGGGCTGTGAGCCAAGGCTGCAAGTGTCTGCAGGGGCTGCAGGCCTCTAGGAAGCGCGGCGTCCCCGGCAGGCTCCAGAAAAGCAGGCTAACCCCTGCCAACCGTGATGACAGCACTGCAAGACCCTCTCTGGACTTCTGACCTCCAGAGTTGGAAAAAAAAATAAACTTGTATTGTTTCAAGCCACTGATTTTGTGGCAATTTGTTACAGCAGCAATAGAAAACTAATACATTTGGGTTTGTTTACATTTTGTTTCTTCAGTGCCAAAAGCTTGGTTTTGATTACAGAGAGCAAAGCCTGGAGGATTCAAAGCACAAAATTTATACCATAAACCCATAGATTTGGGAAGAACATATGATGATAAAAGAACAGTTGTTTTCTCATCCAAAAGGAGATGAAAGGCTGCCCAGCTGAAGGGAAGATGGGCTTACTTTGAAATGGCAACATCAATTTTCCGTCATCTGTAGAAATGGGGTCTAAGAGTTTTAAGTTCAATTACAGAGACATAAGAAAGGTTGCGTGTTTATACACAATTTTTTTTTCCTGTAAGTAGCCCATCAGCTACATGTCCAGATATGAACAGAGGTTATCTCTGGCTAGTGGATTATGAGTGCATTGTATTTATTTTACTCAGCATTTCCTAGTTTGTTTTTTTCCCAAAAGGAACAAATTTGTTTCTTAAGGGAAAAAAAGGAGGAAAAGCATATACACACATAGAAAGCTCCAGTCCTTGGGAGGCCGCACTTTCCATCCACAAAGCCACATCCTTCCCCTGCACCCGATGGCTGAGGAATAGCTTTTTGTCACACAAGCCCTGCAGCAAAGAATGGGAGGTCCCTCCTCTTACTAGTTAAATCCCCTGGGAGAGATGGCGCCTCGGGCACCCTCTTTCCAGCTCTCTGTCCTCCTCTCATCTCTCCGGCCTCCACCAGCAGTGCCCCCTGCTGGCCCTGCCGGGCTCAGGCCCTAGGACTGAGCCCCCACTCAGCAGGCCCCCTGGACTGTGCTTACATCAGAGGGCTGGGTCTCCTCAGCCCTGACAAGTCGGTTGGCTCTTGTGTCCCCAGCCCCTCAGAGTTATGGTCAGAGACACCTCCCATTGCAAAGTGGGTCCTATCCAGTCCAGAGCCGATTCTGATCAGGCAGCCAGAATGTCGGAGGCTCAGAGAGGCAGGCTGCTGAGCCCGCGATGACCCATGACCCACACTGCTGCCGACACAGGGTCTGTGCGCCTGCGCTGAGCCCTGAGTCTTCCCGGTTCCTGGTCGGCCATTCCCACTCTCAATTCTGCCGAGTGGCCCGTCCACTCCCTGCCAGACCTGGAGCCTGCCCTTGACCGTACGTTCCGTCCAGTGCGGTGGCCTCTAGATGGAGACTGGGCTATGTAGCCTGTTCTGCTCCATTCTCCCAAACCACAAGCTGCCGCCCCACCAGGTTCTAGCACAGGCTCCTTCCAGGGCGGACAGCTGGGACCAAGCCCAGCTCCCCAAGTCTTTATCCCACCATGGGTCTATGGTGGTCCTGGGGGCCAGGCCCACAGCAGCCCCAGAGGCAGTTCCTCACGATTCCCTTTCCTGGGCCCCGAGATCCCTGCTGATATTGTCACATCGCTTTTAACACTTCAGAAAGGGCCGAGCCACCGCCTGGCAGCATCATCCCAAGGCTACAAACCTCCAAGGCCTGTTCTTCCTTCTGCATCTGGCCCTGAGTGGCAAGCAGCCTGCTCGATGGTCGGAGGAGCTCAGCACTGTCTCCTGAGCCTTGGCCCCTTCCCACATTCTCACAGACGGAGCTGCCACACTGCACATGGAGGGACATGTGACAGTTTGCATGACAGTGACCCCAAGGAAGCCTGGGTGGCTCAGTGAAAGCCAGTAGGCTATTTTTCAGCCCAATGTGTAATCATTAACCTAAATGCCTACATTCCCAAGGATGGTAAACGCAGCTAAAAATCAATTTTCTTGTTCAATCAACCCATTCATTTCTAAATGACCACTGCCTTTAAAATTTACTTTCACACTCAGAAAATTACAGACACATCCTATCATGCCAATGTATGGCATTTAAAATGCTTTATAATATTTGAACATTCATTTTAAGGACAAATTGAACCTCCTACAACATTCAAATAAGGACAAAAGCACAGACTGGCTCTCTAACCTAGATTTTGTCATCCTAAATCTCAGGAAAAAGTCCTGAAATCTGTCAGGTCATCTGTGCTAGCGCTGGAAACCACAGAATCTGCTCACCAATGAACCAACCACCTAACAACAGCAGGCAATACTCACTGTCCACACGCCTTAGAAAAACTACCCTATCCTGTGTCATCATATGATCCTATTTGTGTGCCCATTTCACAGACGTGCAAGTGGAAGCCCAGAAAGGTTGAGGGACTAGCCTGGGTCACAGAACTAAGAAATAATGGAGGTGAGACACCCGGTATTCTTATGGAAAGACCACAAAAGTGCCTACTACAGTTTCTCAGTCAAGAGCTCAATGGACAAATAAATGTGTCAGTGAGAAGGACCTACCCGACGTGTCCCCAGGTGGGAAGGCAGTGACCTCTGGTACCCACTGCAGGCCTTGGGAGAGCATCCTCGCGGAACCAGGAAAGTCAGCGCTGGAAGGACTTAGGGCTGCGCCAATCCCTGTGGTTTGTAAGCTTCCTGCAGGACCACGTCCCTCTTCTCAGACACATTACCTGGAACATCAGCACATAAACCAGATCGATATGAAGTTGCGGCTGAAGCAGGGTGACAAGTCTGCTGCCCGGTCCCCCCAGCGCTCTGCTGAGCACGTCTGGAAACCCCTGCCCACAGCAAGCCCCTCATCACACACATGGGGACGCTCAGCCCTAGAGGGGGCAATGAGCTAATCCAGGACAAAGGCGCACGTAACTGCCGAGAGTCCCAACGGCCACGGCCAGAAGCCCTTTCACCCAGCCCTGAGTGACCAGTCTGCAGCCCAGTGAGACTAGTGAGAGAAGCCCAGAGGGACCCTGGTCAGTCTCCTTTGTCCACAGGGGTACCCCAGGCAGGGAGCCATCCCAGCAAACCGCAGGGGTAGGTAGGACTTGCTTTGTCAATCTTTCATGCGCTTTGTACGTTTGAAAGCACATCCACAAATATCTCATGTTTTTAATTTATCATAAGACATTTTCTGCAGACCCAAAGGTATTAAGGCTTTATTCTGGAAGCCTTGTATTGTTTTACTGCAAAAGCTTTGCTTATGTATGTATGTGTATATGTTTCACATTATGTGTGTATACACACACGCGCGCACACATTTTTCATTATTTGCCCATGCCTATGCACGAAACTGCACAATTCTAAGCTGACTACATACATATGAGTCCCCAAAAGCAAGCACGGGCCGCAGGGAAGACACGATAATATCTGGCATCAGGAAGTCAGTTCGAGCAACAAGGACTTCCCGGGCACCACGCTGAGGGGTGCCAGCCCAGGTGACTCGTGCACCTGCCCTCCCGTACCGCCCTCTTCTGCTCCCACAGGTCTGAGCCAAGCCAGCTCTTGGGAGCACAGGAACCTCGCAGCAGTGCCAGCGTTCATGAGGTGACTTCAGAGCCAGCCCCCTGCTCCTGCTCCCCAGTCAGAGCCCTGCCCCCGGGGCCCAGCCTTCCCATCTTTCTCCAACCTTGCCCCAACTCAAGGCTGACCACTGATGCCCTGAACCCAGTGACCTCCAGACTACAGGGCCTCTGGCTTCACTCTCTGGACTACAGCTTGTCTTCTTTTTCTCTGGGGATGAAGCCTGCTTACTCTGCTCTGGGAGCAGGCACTTTGGGTCACGATGCTAGCTGCCCTGCATGAGTTCCACATGATGGTGTATGATCATCTAGACTGGGCCTGGACAGTGGGAGATGGAGAGAGTGTATGTAATTGTAATGAACAACAGTGATGAGGATAATGGTGAGGAAGGTGATGGTGGTGATGATGGTGGTGATGATGGTGGTGGTGGTGGTGGTGGTGGTGGTGGTGGTGG